ACAGCGTGGCTGTAATTTGGGCTAGCCCTGGGGCACGACCCTGGAGGCAGAAGTGGGCCCTAACAGTCCCAGATAGCTCTGGGGATGAGCTGAATCCTAGAAGGACCATCTAGTAAGGTCTTGTAGAGTCCAGAAAGTGAATGTTAAATGAGTCTAACCCATGTGCGATGAGGGGCAAGAAGTTTTGGTGTTCTAGGGACTTAACGGTGTGGTCTGCATTCACCCCTCACAACCAGCCAGCAAGAAGAGGGCATGCGGCACAGCAGGGGCCTCGGGACCTTCACCAGTGCTATGGCCAGTGTTCAGGCCCTGGCATAGGGTCTGGTATGGCCACTGTAACACATTTTTAGTGTCACTCCTAGGGAGTGGGCATCTTGGGGACAACACCTCAGAAAATTGCAGCCTGCCAGTAATGGAATTCACCCCTTTCTCATAGTCACTGCTGATTGGACAAGAGGCACACAGCTAGCCAATCAGATCCTCTCCTGGAACCAGAGACTTGACTCTGGAGCTGGAATCACCTCTCTTCTCTGATTGCAAGAAGTAAGATGGAGTAGGGCTGCTAACTTCTACCATGTGTGTCTCAGAAACAGAGAGGAGTATGATTTTGTTCTATAGTGCCGAACACATAGTAGAAAATATTAAACCAGTGAATGAAGAAGCAGAGCTATGCCTTGATTTAACTCATTTCTGTCACCTACCTAGCAAGCACTCAAATATGTGTTGAATGTCTGTGGCCCCCAAAAAGGTGCACTGGTTCTCTACCGCTGCATAACAAATTATCCAAAACTTAGCAGCTTTAAAATAATCATGTGTTATCTCACGGTTTCTGTGGGTCAGAAATTCAGGAGAGGCTCGGCTGGGTGGTTCTGACTCAAGATCTCAAGTTGCTGTAGTCAGATGGTATTGGGCTGGGGATGCCTGGAAGGCTCCCTCCCTCACATGTGTGGCACATAGGAATAATCCAGCACCCAGGGCTAGAAAAGTGGGGACTGTGTGGGCCTCCTCTCTCTCCCTCCATGGGTCTCTCCTTGTCTCCAACGTGGCGCCCTTGGGTAGCTTGGGGCTCCCCAGGTGAGATAAGAGAGCATGCGGGACATATCCCCTTTAATAGCTGAGCCTTGGAAGTCCTGCCCCTCCTGTGGGTTGAAGGAGTTACAAAGGTCTGCCCAAGCTCCAGGGAAGGAGACGTAGGCTCTGCTCTTTATGGAGCAAAGTCCTGGTCACGTTGCAAGAAGAGCTGTCTGGAGGTGAGGTAGTGAGGAAGCTCCTCCAGGAGAAGGGATTCAAGCACCGAATGTTAACTGCCAAAGTGTGAAAGCCCCCTGTGTGCCAGGAACAGTCCTAAGAACTTTACATGTATTGACATGTCTGATTCACACGGCCACCTAGGACATGGGTGCTACAAATATGCCCATTTCGTGGATAAGGAAATTGAGGCCAGAAAGATTGAGCCACTTGCTTCAGGTCACACAACCTGCAAGTGGCAGAGCTGACACTCAAACCCAGGCCCCACCTGGCTGGGCCGTCTCTCTAGGCTGAGCCAGAGCCCATCTGCCTACCCAGGTGATCCCCATTTGAGACTGGAGCAGCTTGGATCTTTCCCCCACCAGCTCCCTGAAAGGCCTGTCAGCTTGATGTCTTTGCCAGCGGGGCCTGTTCTGGGTCTGGCATATAGTTGGCATTCAGTAGTTGTAGGATGACCTAAAGTGTTGACCCAGAGGTTGGCCTAAAGGACTGTCATGGTCTCTAGTTTGCTTTTCCTGCAGAATTTCTCAGCCCCATATTCGGTCTTGCATCAATGTTCAGCTGTACCTTAAAGACCTAGGGAATCTGGTGCTTCTCTCTCTGTCTCTGCACCCTGGTCCCAGCCAGGGTCCTCTCTCACCTGGATATCTGCAGTCGCTCTTCACCATGTCCCTGTGGTCACCCTGCTGGGCTCAGCCTTTAATTAGAGAATCTATAGTTTTAGGGAGCGTTTACTGAGGGTTCATTATTGTGACATAAACACAGAAATAGTTCACAGTCTTCATTTGTGTGCCCCCAGAAGCAGACTCTGACTCAAGGATTTGGGGGCAAATCATTTATTTGGGAGATGGTTCCAGGAAGTAAGAGTTTGGGAAGTAAGACAGGGAAAGAACCCATACAAGGTGTATTCCTGAGCAGGTGACCACCGAGGGTGACCACCAAGGACAACTGTGGCCCCGTTACTTCAGAACTTCTGGGAAACACTGTAGAACACTCTCGGCATTGTTCCACCTGGAACCAACTGTGTCCTCACTCGGTGAGGGCTGCTCCCAGGGGCCTTAGCCATCCCCTCATGCCTACTACTCTAATCTGCACTGCTCCCCCTTTAGGCAGAGAGAAGCCAGGAAGCCATTCGCATGGAGGGAAGCTGCCTGAAAGTGATCCTCAGATTATGTACTGAGGGGATCGGGGTGAGCTACCATAAGTGTCTGCTGCACTCACAAATGTGTGTGTGTAAATGCAGAGGCACATATGTACAGTCGACAGTTCTCAAAAGTGGACCCATGAGGTCAAAACTATTTTCCTAAACTTATCAAAGAAGACTGTTTGTCCTCAGTTATCTGGAGAGGCTATTGAAATATTCCTCCCCTTTCCAGCTACTTCCCTATGTGAGGCCAGATTTTCTTAATATACTTAACCAAAACAGCTCATCCCAGCAGACTGGGTATGGAGTAGCTTGAGAATCCAATGGTCCTCTATTAAGCTAGACATTAAAGAAACTGACAAAAAAATGTTTTTTAAATGCCAGTCTTTTCACTAATTTTGTCTTCGGAAAAAAATAAAAACTATGTTATGGGTTTCTTGTTATTTTTAATGACTTAATACATAAATGTTTTTTAAAGCCTTAGTTTTAATTTCTAATTGGTAAATATTGATAGATATAACACACATCAACAGAAGGCCTTGGGGTCCT